TTTGCTTGTCATAGCCATGCTATCAATGTGACAAAGATCATCTTTTTTTTTTGTTTGTGATCAATGTTAGAATTCTAACTGCAACAAACTGAAATTTGCACAGTTCCTAAATTAATTTGTTGATTGTTTATTTTAAAAATGAAAATCAAAAATATTTAACTATTACTACAGATATTTTCCAATGTCCAATTCCATTCACTTGTAAGATAATTGGCTTTTGACAAAAGGTCATGTTGGTCTAACAATAATCTTATCTTTTCAAACGAGTTTGAATCATGTCAAAACAGTTGGACAAAGAAGATTTAGTTGTCTGCTGTTTATCTCCTGTCTGCGTGTGGCTGCTTTGCATTTGTATTACTTTTAGTAACACAGGTCAATAAGTCAGTCTGTGGATAACAATCTGACCAAATATTTATTGTTGAGGACAAGCAACAACGTTTTTAAAGCTGTCACTGACATAAAAAAATTATATAAGTTCATATATTGTCCTCATTTTGAGCAACTATTGTTAAAGGTGTGTTTTTCTTAACGTGGACCGTGTTGGAAAAAATAAAAATAAATGGGATTTCAACCAATATTCTTTGGCCTTTTTTTCAGGCTTTTTTTTTATCCTTTTATGTAGGAAATGTTCTTATTAGTTTCCTCTGCTAAATGTTATATCGGTCAATATTCAAGCCTTTGGTGTCGCACACTTTTGAGATAAGGAAAGAAGTGAATTTCTCTGGACCTTTATTTATGTTCTTATTTTCTTGAAAGGGGATTTCTCCCTTTTTACTCAACGTGCCTGGGCTTTTAACAAAGCTAGTAAAGTGAAAAGCTTTCAGACGGCTGCCACTCACTTTGCAGCCTTTTTCTCAGGAGCATTTGTGCTCATTGTGTTTTACTCTATTATACTGAGCCTATAACAGGTACAGGGCATTAAATTACAGCAGGACAAATAGAGCTGCTCACTCCTCTTTTCCAATTTCCTCTGAGAAATAAAATGAAAGGGAATTAGACATGGATCCTTTTATATTTATTTCCTGATTTTGCTGGAGGTCTTTGTCATCGTGTGCCATAAAGTACAGCGCTGCTCGATTTATGAGAGCTGTCTCCTACGAAGCTGAGGCCAAAGGACTTAACCTCTTTATATACAGCAGTGCTGTCCTTTATTTCCGGTGGCTGTTGTATTATGGCGGTGGGTTTAGCCCAGTGGAACTGACACCCCACTGTTACGTCTCACTGTGGGTCCTCCGATAGTCACGGGATATTGAACATGACCCCCATCTTTCATGCCCTTGTCTACGGATGATAAATAAGATTTTATTTCATAACAAAACATTTCCTTTTCTTTTATTGCCACCTTCATTGTGGGTGTTTATGGGTAAAGAGGATTCGGGAGGATTCGTGTGAAATGGTAGAAGCACTGTTAAGAAATAAGCCCACTTCAATGGAGGGATTTACAGAGCCTACTCAGGAGTAGGAGGGAGCATTTCAATGCCGCCCTTTCTCTGAGGGTGTTCTCTCCACTGTACTGCTCTCACTCGCAGCCACAACTTTGCTTTTATTGTTTTTTTTTCTCCCTAGATTATAGAAAACAATGGAAATTGCTTCTCCGTTGCAGGCTGTAGTTGCAGAATGAGTGCTGAGAGTACTCAGCGGTTTTGCAAGGTGACCGAGTATCGAGCAAACGTCGATGAAACTGTCGGATGTCATTGTTTTTGACAATCCTGTGGGCTCCCCCGAAACTCTTCGGTCCAAGTCTAAACAAGATGAGGATTGTTTTACAAATTACACCGACAGAAGGGAGAGAAAATAAAGATGCAAGGACGAATATGATCTGCCACTGATGTTTGATGATACTATCATTTTCACCATTCATTATCACTGTGCACAGTTTGTTGACATTGCTCGACGTCATCTGTTCACAGATCAATTTAAGGGCAAAATATAAAAGATAAAGCACCAAACAAACCATGACCACATGATGGGTTGATGCTCACGCTAGCACGCCACACCACACAGTCAAACACTTACGGTCTCAAAACCTGCCTTGACTATGAGATAAAGGTTTAAAAATACACCTCCCCCACCCCATCTGATTTCAAATGCACTTACGTAATCATACATTTATTTCTCTAATTAGGTTCTTAGGATCCCAACTGCTTTAATCCATGGTGTGGGAAATGTGCTTTTTTTAACTTGCACATGTGGTGCCGAATTAAACTCAAGTTTAATTTCCTCATGTGTGAAATTAAAGATTCTGCTTAAAGATCAATGTTGGCTTAAGTCTGACAAATACATTCCCAGCAGCACCTGCCCCATCCTGGTGTGAGTGACCTCTGAATGGCAATTCTATCAATTCAGTGTCAATCCTCCTCATAGCACAGGAACAGAGGGAAGTGAGGCAGCATTAATTATGAGTCTTCCAGCTCCCAGGGACAGTTAATCTTTGTCATTGTGCTCTTGGAAACATTTGGAGCTGCCACCAAAATTGGAACCAGGTCACAGCTCCTGACCCTTAACTAGGAATCAGAATTCTACTCACGGTCTAAGATGGGAAACTGCTCTGCTTGTTTCCCTTCACACATTTTTTTCAGGCTGCCTTTATTCATGCTTCAGTGTCTTATGGAAAAACATTTTCAGTGTCCAAGAGGAGAGACTTTTAACACTCTAATTTAATCTAATCTAATTTACAGTAGAAACATTTTCTGATAGTTCCTGATCAATTTTGAATCGTTCTAATGCTCATTTATTAGTTTCAAGGTTAACATATTATGTTGTTTTTTAATAAATATCTTAGTTTTAGTTATTCATGACATTTATACTTGAAATACCTTCTAAAGTTTTTAAAACACCATTGTGCAACTGGGATGACAAATAATCCATACATGATTATCAAACTTCTAACCCTAAACCTCATTAAAGAAAATACTATTTCCGATCTTATTCAGGAAAAGTCAACCAGTCCAAACAAGATTGTTTAAAAACATCTTTGTTAGGTTTGTTTCTCTAAACCTCATGGTCATAACTGAAGAAGAATGTAATACATTGTCTTACATTAACATCATGCTAATAAGAGGTGTGAATCAAAGTTTGTGAATGAACTACTGTACATTAATAGTAATGTAACATCTTTTTACATAGCTCAGTACAGTATTAGAAGAAGAAAAAAAAAACAAAATCAGCCATTTGAATTTGTTCACCAGTCGTAAACTTCAACTTGCTTCCTCTTCTCCAACAGTGCCGCTATGCTAAGTTAACATGAGTTAGCGGGAGCTATCATTCATTCTTGCAGGTGCGTCAAACAACAAAGACTCAGAGATGATCCAGGAGCACTGTGAACAGTTTGACAGAACTGGGGCGTTGCCTCAGTCATACCTTCCCCGGTGCTTGTTTGTATACGTTTGATATTTTCAGGCAAGAGCAGATTTCACCTGAATGACAAGAATAATGATAATAAATGGGAGCTTTTTCGTCTTTCACATTTAAAATATAATGCCTGGCGTTTCACGTGAGACAGGATCTCGTGGGAGCACGAAATTCATTGTCCCTGTAGCAACAGCAGGCGGAGGACACAAACGCCGCATTAACAACCTAAGCTGCACTGCAGTATGCGGGGTCAGAGACACAGATGTAGGAAATAACAGGAGGAAGATTCCGGCGCTTCTTAAGCTGTTAATTCTCTAAACGACTTCACACAGGTTACACTGGAATTCCTGCAGTTTGCCTTTCATCTGCTACCTGCCGTGTGCCTCGGTGTTTTGCCATAACAACTTGCTGCACCACTAAGATGTTGAATAGCACTCTCCTGAGAATAAGCCACCCAGCCAGACAGGCAGGGAAGAGAAGGCAACACTGACTGGAGCTGCTGCAACGATTAATGAGGCTTCAGTTGTCAATGTCAGTTTCAGGCCATCGCTGCATGGAGACAAGCGTGGGATGTTGAAGGAAAGAGAGCTGCCGTGCAGTGTCTCTGGGTTTGATCATTGCTTCACATCTTAGGAAAATGGAGATACGGTATCAGGAGGCAACAAGATTGCTCCATGCATTGGGCTGTGTGTGTGTGTGAATCTATCAATGTGTGCAAGTGTGCAGACCACAGGTACTGTATTTGTGGCTGCGGAAAACAAGGTAGTACAGACAATATCAGCAGACACATCTCTAACAACTCGCATCACGTCTGGAGTTCATATGTGCATGTACCCAGTTGTCCGAGTGTTTAGTCACACACATCTATGAGTCAATGTGACGACTTGGCTCCAGGCTAACCACAAGTGTACGAGATTCTGAGCAAAGCTATTAGTTATTGGAGCGCATTTCTTGTTTTTGATATTCCCAGAACACAATAATAATTCCAACTGAATTGATAATAATAAAAACAACAAAAAATACTACTAGTACTATCAATAATAATAATAACAATAACAGGGCCACACAGTATCACAAATAGTATGCGTTAATCGATTTTGCAACAACATTCGAATGTCTAAACTCACATTAACACTCCTTGTAGGTCTTAATGTTTCCTTTATCTCTATCTTTTGATGCCAACATAACAAAATATATAGCAACAAAGTCAAGAAACTAAAAAATACAACAACAAAAAATTAAAAAACTTGCCATGACGTAATTCAACTAAATATAGGTCCAATCATTAGAGGGGAGTTGTTTAAAATTATTTAAGTCAGCAATTATGATCAATTTGTCTAATTTAACGTGACCACAGATAAAACGTACCTTTTATTTACAATAAAATGCACGAATGAGTAATAAATGAAACGCACATTCACACAGTGATAGACGTTCACGGACAGATGGGAGAAATCAAGAGCAGCTCATCATAAAAGTTAATTGACTGAGGACTTTAAGAACTTCACGTTGCACTGAAAGCCGAGACCGGTGTCGTACTCGCACACAACCAATTGCAAATGACAAGCTAACATTTAACGTCCAACCAATTCAACTTTACGTTAGGAAAACATTGACGTAATTTAATCCAGTTGCAGCGTATTTCTTACCTTTACGGTGACGAACAAACATGGTGGTTGTCCCGCCGGTGATGAAACATGTCGGATGCGTTTCCTCCTTTCACTGCAATTTTACGGCGTCCTTTAAATGCTGACAAGCCGCCATCCCCGACAACACCCTGGTCATCTTCTCCGTAGTCGAAATAATTTCATACGTCTGATTTAATACTTGTTCGGTGGGAATAATTCTTCTCTTGCCATGTTCCCATCTTGGCTAGGCCTCTCCTCTGCGATTTGAAGGGACGGAAAACAAAGCGCGAAAACGTTGTGTAACTTTGCTTTCTTTCCGTTTGAAATGCTCTTAACTATAGTTCCGCCATATTACTTTCTGACGATATTCAGGAAACGTTAAGATAAATGAATCGTAGTGCTTAGTAGCGCAATCAATTGTATTATCGAGTAATTGAGACATTCCTAATGCCCATTGGTTCAGTTCCTGGTGTTTGGGCATTGAGTTTGAATTGGCTTGTTTTACGAACATGGCTTTTTCACGGGTTTTCTACCATAGTCCAAAAGTATTATTTGAACAACCGGTATTTCGTCTATGGTGCCCTCACCCAAGGACTGCTGGGATTGGTAGAAAACAACCCTGATAAGTTAAAATAATAATAAATAATTTCAAACCTCAGCCAGACTGAAACCAAATCCTCTTCTCTACAGGTATCTTATTCTAAATAGAGTCTGGTAACAACTTCACTGATGCTGCATTCACAGATTACCGTATCAGTCATGTCATGTCGCTGCTCCACAACGTTCTTTTTCAATATTGAACCATTTTCCCACTCTATGAATACAATGCATAGATAATGCATTAACAAATTCAGCAAGACACTGTCTTTCTCTTAGTGTGGATTTAGAAACTGACAGAATCATTTTCACACTCTCGAGGTACACGGTCTTTGTAAATTTTTATTTCCATACTGAACCAAGGATTCCATCGGAGCGGACACAGACACTGATTCTTTCATTAAATGTTCCAAAAGATGAATGTCTATTCAGTGCTTCAGTGCATCCAACAGAAATGGCTTCTCCACAAACTAAGGTGCCGCCTGATGCTATAAAATTATTTGTATTACATCGATCGATAACTGTTCTTTTTCTTTTCTCCACAGCAGTAAATTAAAAATGTTTTTTTTTTCTTTTTAATCTCCACAGCAGTAAATTAAAAATATTTTTTTAGATCTTCTTATCTGGCTCTCGTCGCGTATTATCTCCGGCACATTTGGAAAGACTTATAGCCAGTCATCACATCAGAGTCGTGATAATCACGTCCAGTTTGAACAGCTGACACACAGGCTTCACTGTTTACACTCTCCAGAACTGGCAGAGCTGAAGCGCTCTTTGTGATACAAATGAAGCACAGATCTGAGGGAAAGGAGTGGGAAAATTGTTACTACATTGACAGATCTTATGACCGTGAAGAGAAACGCCTGCGAACGCTATTACTTGTACAAACTAGTTTCACACTTTGATGAACCCTTTCTCTGTTATTCATAATTCACCAGTCGATGTGAGACAAAGATATCGCAGAATACGACGGCAGAGTTTTAGTGGAAGTCACTATCGGAATTCACCGCTAAAGAGAACGGCTCAGAATTAATCAGGGTAAAATGTGGACTACATTTCATCAGCTCACTCCGCCGCTCACGAACAATACAGCACTTTATATCATTGAACCTTCCCTCGGCCCCGATTTGTCATTGTCTACAGGCAGACAGTTATTTGCCGATGAATCTATTGGTTCTGAGGCTTCTCTATTTCACTGCGATGTCAAATGTGAATACCTGGAGACACATCTTTCACTCGCTCTTGTGGGAATCTTTGCCCGGGGATGATATTGTGTTGATAAGTCGCTGCCTGTGGAGCAGCGTTGGCTGATAACGCACTACAACAATGTTATTTCTCCCCGTAACATGCAGCTCGGCAAATTAGTGCTTAATTCCCAGTGATTACATCAATTACACCGCGGCAAATCATGATGTGATCGTTTTTAACAATATAATTAGGCCTTGGATGAGAGCTCTCACTGTAATAACCTGCGTGTGATTCACTGAAACAAAGGCTGCATAATGTTTGGATAATGTGCAGTGTTTTAGCTTAAATGCTATTTATTAATATTGTGGGGAAATTCCTACAACGTTCACATACAAACACCTTTAACACGTGCACACATTTATATATATATTTAATGGGGCTGTCAAGATTAATGTGTTAATCAGGTTCATTCATTTGAGAAATTGAGATTTTCATACAAACACCTTTAACACGTGCACACGTTTATATATATATTTAATGGGAAATTGAGATTTAAATTTTTTAAGACATTTTAACACATGGGCACAAGGACTGTATTTTTTTTTGGTCTCTTTCAATGATCTATTCATTTTGGAGTACATCAGATGAACTTTTATTTGGTTGAAAAATTTACTTAGATTTACTTCAGATGAACTTTTATTTGGTTGAAAAATCAAAGTTTACTTAGATGTAAAAATTGTTCATCTTTTTTTTAAAAACCCATTAAATCTCAACTTCACAAATATTTAATGATAAAACTTGCTGTTCAAAGATGTTTGAGAGACGTGTCCTAACTTAGAATTTAAAAAAATAAATCCGTTGTTGTGGTCGTTATGGTTTATGTGCTTTAACTACATACTACACATTATCTAGACTACATGGGGTATTTCTATTTACCTCAATTAATTAGTCATCGTCTTTTGGTCCCTGATGGGAATTGTCTCACTAGCAAACCCAGACAGAGTCTCTTCTCTGGCAGCGTTGCTTCCCGCTGATGGTAGACAGCACTGGCCACAGTCCCACGTCTCCCCTGCGTCATGTTTCTCGCCGTCTCTTTTGTCTTCTTATCTCATGTAAGCGTTCTCTCCTGGCACACATCCATCCATGTAAGGGATCCCTGTTTAAAGGAAAGTGCCAGGCTTTTAGCGTACACCAGGATCACATGCTGATGATGTCATTTTATCCGGCGCCACTTAACAGGATGAAATATCCTGTTTCCCGCACAAAAGAAAAACCGTAACGTGTCTCAATCTGTGTCGGTCGGTGACAAATGTTAGTCGGTGTGAAGTTGAAGAACGGGGCGAGGCCTCTGAGTGAAGCCGAGCTCGTCTAATTAGTGGTCTTAGTGTAATTTGGCCCAATGCTCTGTCTCTCTGTGGTCCGTCTGTTCAGTGGGGCCAGAGGGGTCAGCGGGCTCAATATCCCCCTCTTTAATTACTCACATCATTAACACATGGCTCCTTTCACTCCATGGCTGCTCGATGGACACTTCACCTGCAACTGCAACAAGCCATTCATAACAAAGTCTGATCGATTGCTCTGGCCTACGCCGTGGTTGTTATCATTACCGGCAGGATCAAAACAGACGATGAGTTCAGGACGAGAATGTTGGTCCGTGGTGGTCCGACTCCAAAAGCATTACATCTGCTTCTGTTCCTGGACAAATGCAATATCTGTGCAATGGCTTATCAGCCCACAGGAACGGTCTGACACATCACTGATGTATTACTTCTGTGGACTACGATACATAAATTTGATGGCGGAGATAATTCATGTTTCTCTGACACATTTGCAATGAGACAGGCAAAAATAAGTAGCTAGCAGATAGCACATCTATAGGACGTCATTTGTAAAAAGGACTGAAACAGCTCACACTCCTGCAGGTAATCCGGATGTGGCAGATTAAAACGCGGGTTTGAATAATGCATGTATTCACACCTCTGTCAGGGATCAGTAGCCCCTCCACTGACCAGTGATAAATCACG